TTTTTTTTTTTTTTTTGGTTTTTCGAGACAGGGTTTCTCTGTGTAGCCCTGGCTGTCCTGGAACTCACTCTGTAGACCAGGCTGGCCTCGAACTCAGAAATCCACCTGCCTCTGCCTCCCAAGTGCTGGGATTAAAGGCGTGCGCCACCACCGCCCGGCCTGTTTTTGTTTTTTTGAGACAGGGTCTCACTATGTATCTCTGGCTGTCATGGAACTCATTGTGTAGACCAGGCTGACCTGGAACTGAAGAAATCCACCTTCCTCTGCTGCCCAAGTGCTGGGATTAAAGGTGTGAGCTACCATGCCCCGCATATAAGGCCATTTTTTTTTAACTGACAACTTTAAGCCAGAAAAGGGGGAGGAGGAGGAACTTCTTCTGGACAACCAGAGCTGTTACACAGAGAAACCCTGTCTTGGAAGAAAAAAAAAGTTGATTTGTCGTATAATCCTGTTTAGCCTCACTGCTGAGTATCTACCCAAAGGGGAAGGAGGTCAGAAGTGGCACCTGCACACGTTTGCTGGGGCACTTCTCACAGCTAGGGACTTCTGAGGGACAGTGTGGCTTCTTGATGTCTTTAAACCAGTGGTGAATTATAATGAGGGTTGCCTAGAGCTCAAGTGTAGTGTTGAGGAGCATTCAGACTCCCAGATCATGTATTTTTTCTTAGCTTCGATGGGGTAGTATTTCAGATGGTATCTTGAGGCTTTCAAGGATACTGGAGACTCAAACATCATCTCATACTAAGCTATTTGAGACAAACGAAAATAATCCCAGCATTTGTAAGCTAGAGGAAGGCAGATCAGAATTTCAAGGGCTACACAGCAAATTAGAGTATAGCCTGAGGTACATGAGACCTAGTCTCAGGAAGAAAAAAAAAAGGACAAGCCTTGAAACCAAGACTCTCTTCCTTCTGAAACCTTTGGATAAAAGGCCAAATTTGTGCCTGGACTGTCATGCCCAAAAGCTTCTCTGAAATCTCATCCTCCTGATCCGGAAGTCCTGTCTAGCAGAGGTTGCAGTCACTTCAGTATGTGGATGACTTCTTCTGGGCCCTTTCATGGCAGCATGTGAGGGTACTTTTGTCTGCCAAGGGCTATAAGGTTTTGTTTTGTTTTCATTTACATTATGAAATTTTCACTATGGAGGGCAGGGAAGCCTGCATCTCACTATATAGCTGAGGGTAGCCTCAAACTTGTGGTCCTCCTGTCTTAGCCTCTTCAGTGCTAGTTCTGTAGTCATGAATCATCATACCTGGATAAGAAAGAGGAAGTTTTATAGACATAGGTGAAGTATAAATTATGATAGTCATGGAAAACAGAATTAAGTTCCTCAAAAAGTTTATTTGGCTGGTGGTACATGCCTTTAATCTTGGTACTCAGAAGGAAGAGGGAGGGAGATTTCTGAGTTCAAGGCCAGCCTGGTCTACAAAGTTCTAGGACAACCAGAGCTGTTACACAGAGAAACCCTGTCTTGGAAGAAAAAAAAGTTGATTTGTCGTATAATCCTGTTTAGCCTCACTGCTGAGTATCTACCCAAAGGGGAAGGAGGTCAGAAGTGGCACCTGCACACGTTTGCTGGGGCACTTCTCACAGCTAAGTCAGGGGGAGGAAGTCTCAAAATCATGAAAGGGAGTTGTGGTACTAGAACTGAATCCTTGCTGCTCTTGTACAGGAAGAGTTCAGTGGACTGGTGACCCACATCTGCCTGTAACTGCAGCTCTAGAGGATCGGACGCCCTCTCTGACCTCTGTGAGGACTTGCGCGCACACGCACACACACATACACACACACGCATGTAAATAATTTTTACAAAGAAAAAGGGAGTCCCACTCTCTCTTCTCTGATCTAAGACGTACATTTTCTAAGGTCAAGTCAGTGCTCATGGAAATAAATTCATCTGAATTGGAAAATAGGTGGTACTTAGACTCATACAGTACAAGGTGTCTTAAAATTTGCTAAACGCCAGCTGCATGGACTTCTTGGTCTCACTAATTACTGCCACAAGTAAGCCCTCAACTTTTCTATGCAGCCTCGCCTTCTGCCATCAAGCCAACTGCATAGTTGAAGAGGACACCATCTTAGTCACTGTTCTATTGCTATGAAGAGACACCATGACAAAGGCAACTTTTATAAAAGAAAATATTTAATTGGAGGCTTGATTACACTTTCAGAGGCTTAGTCCATGATCAGCCTGGTAGGAAGCAGGCCTGGTGCTGGATCAGTAGCTGAGAGCTTCACATGTTGATCTACAGTCAGGATTGAGAGAGAGAGAGAGAGAGAGAGAGAGAGAGAGAGAGAGAGAGAGAGAGAGAGAGAACACACATTCCTGGTGTGGGCTTTTGAAATGTCAAAGCTCACCCCAGTGATACACCTCCAGCAAGGCCACATCTACTCCAAACGAGGCCACCCCTCCTAATCCTTCCAAAACGGTTCCACTAACTGGGACAAAGCATTCAAACATGTGAGCATATGGGGATCATTCTCAATCAAACCACCACAAACCCTGAAAGATTCAGCCTTTGACAAGGGGAAAAAAGTAATTATTAAGTCCCTGATGGGGAAACTTCCTGTGGGGAATGTTTCTATTTGTTCCCAAATAGCAGAAAAAATGTCAGGGCAAAGCAACAATTCCATCCAGGTCTAACTCATTAGTGTCACTTACAGGATCGTGGCTCTGCCATGTAGCACTGTCACTGAAAAGCCCATCCCAGCATTGTGATATCTTACTGAACTCCCCCATGCAACTTGCAGGCGTCCACATCCCCTGTGCAACTTTCATCTATACCCTGTGAAGAATCTATTCTCTTCCAGAAGTTACCACTTAGAGAAACCTTCTGAGTCT